AAATCGAAGCTTAAATTTGACTCTGTGATTCTGACTAAATTCTTTGACTTGATTAATCTATCAACAAATATTTACATGTTATAATATGACTAATACCAAACATAATAAACAGAACACGAAATCAAACAAGACAAGATGCACACCTGAACTCTCTACAGAGAAGAGGATAAATAAGGCGTTTAAAGGAATCGTCCAGTGAATTATGTAAGATCTTCATTAACTCTGGCCTTGCAAAGCCACGTGGTCTCCACCTGCAAAAAAGAAAAGTCCATATTAAAACTGATGTAACAATAATGGGACTATGAAAGGGCTCCTAGAAAAGTGGGAGTGGAATAGAGAAGGGGAAGAAATCTTTATTGAAGCCAACGTAACATAATCTGTGAGGAGAGGCTGTGGTATCTGGAAATTATTACTATGACATCTGGAGTTTTTATTTTTAAAAACCTGGCAATTATAATCTGACATAAAACTTAAGGGAAAAAAATTTCTTCTTCTGTGACGTGTCTCCAAAGTGTTATTAAAAATGGCCAAAATCTTAAGACATAAGAAAGTCATCAAAAAATTACTTTAGCACTGCTACGGACTGAATTGTGTCCCTCCTCAAATTCATACGTTAAACCCCTAATTCCTGGTGTGATGGTAGTTGGAGATGAGTCCTCTGGGAGATAATTAGGTTTCATGCCATTATAAGAAGAGGCACCTGAGAGCTTGCTCTTTCTCTCCCTCTCTACCATGTGGGAATATAGGAAGAAGGCAGCCTTCTGCAAGCCGGGATGAGAGCCCTCACCAGGAACTAAATGGGATGGCACCTCGATCTTGGACTACCCAGCCTCCAAACTGTGAGAAAATAAATTTCTGTTGTTTAAGCCACTCAGTCTACGGTATTTTGTTACAGCAGTCGGAACTAAGATAAGTACCATATCCTTCTTTTCCCATGCCTATATCTCTTCCTAAGAGTTAAAGTTAACTAAGCAAAGGAGAAACTATTTTCACGCTTGCTTCTTGGCATTCTTAAGTAGAACTTAACTCTATTGTTCAAGCCATACTGCTCTACCAGGCAGCATCTGCATACATACTGAGGAGTATAAATGCCACAGAACTAATTATTAGTGGACACTGGAGAAATAATAGAAAAGCTCAGGCTAAAAGGACAAATTTAGCCCTACCCATTCTGGGTTTGCATCCATTTACAGCATCTCTGCCCTTGCTGTTCAACAGCTCTTGAATAGAAACCACTAACATATCTTAAGGGTACTCTCATCTCCCTTACTTATTTCAGGCTAGGAAATGAACTAAATTTCAGTGAACAAATATTTAAGCATTTACAATGATATCTCAAAGGTTACATAACAACTACTAACTGAATCCCTTCCTTAGAAGGGTGTTATTTGAGCAACATATAGTTTTGTTTTTAAATTTGAATGAAGGTGTTTTTAGGCGGGACATATACCCTTCCACCCAAATCC